ATTTCTGTCCACCAGGTATTTGAATAGGCTGACAAGGATTCACCTGCAGACTCTCATAGTGTTCCTGCTAATGGGGGCGGAGGAAGCTTATGGAAACCCCCCACAGGCATTGTTACTTTCTTTGTAGTCATTCTTTTGGGGTCCTAAGATAAACTTGTGAAAGTAGCTGACTCCAGTCATTTTGCTATTTGAAAAGAGGTGTTTTTATGCTCAGTTTGCTCAGTTATGCTCAGTCCTATAAATTCACAAGCCATGTATGTTGTTCCCCTCTGAGCTAAAGCTTTTTTTTTTGTGATAAATCCTTATAAATAATTGTTGCCTGCAACTGGAAAAAAAAGCTGTGTGCATTTAGCATTTGGAAGTGCAGATAAAGACAACTGGCTGGATCTGTGTCTGTAACAGATGTCCACCCTGTCTGAAACCTTCTTGGTAGATTAGCTTTAGACCGTGCACACGCCTGCATCCTCTTCAAGCTGCTGTTAAGCACATGGTAACATTTAGGACCTCTGGTTTCCATGGCAAAGAGAGCAGCTGAAACAGCGCCTTGTGGATTTACCTGCTCCGCTTGTTGCCAAGGCTAATGATGCAATCAATTGGGATCCTCTTTTGTTAATTAAATTAGGGTTGCATCCGAGACCTTCTTTCTACAGGTAGAAGCAACAGGGCTGGAATTTCAGTGGGTGAATCCCTGTGTGTAAACAAGAGTTGGTTAATACTACCATGGTTGGGATGATGAGGTTCTGGAAACTGATGAATTAACATTTCATTAAAGCCGAAACAGCAATTACATTTTTAACAAACCTAATGAGTTTTCAGGAATGATGAGTCAATCTAAGGAAGATTGTAGCATGTGTAGTCTTGTTTAGCTTGGATTCCAGAGGGTTACATAAGCAAAGATCCACTTAGACAACCTACACACAGCTTTTCAGATGTACGGTTTCATTTGCACTACTTTTGTACCTGCTGGATCTTTTTGTTATTAGCAGATTACTCATCTATAGAACAAGAAGTAATTTAACCATCATTCATGAAAAGCCACCAGCTTTCGGCTGACGTAATTCATATAATATTGCTGCACTGTAGGACTCCTACCTCAGCTGAGCATTTGGGCTAGAGCGGAACTTTACACTCATCAATCAAATTTTACCAATGCATCCCTCTATGTCTGATGATTAATAATAACATAGACATGTCAGGTGTAAAATGCTATCGATAATATGAAATTACCTGCACTCCATACAGCATACAGACCTTGATGAAAGGTTGGTGCTTGAAGTGACAACACAGATGGAGCAGTGTCAGATACAGTCCATAATAGAAGTCACCAGCACTCGATGTGTGCAAGAAGTAAAGCACTTTTTATTAAATTTTCACATGCGTCATACAGCCAACGTTTTGGGGCCACGCAGGGTCCCTTCTTCTGGGCGACATAGTGTAAAATGCTGTGATTTTGAAATACTTACACTTGCAGAGCATTCACTTCCTGCTTTGAAAGGGCAAAATTACTTCAATTTGCCAACGCAATGCACACTGGGATTGCCTTGTCATCAGCAGAGCGTTGCTGGAAAATCTCATATGTAGTCTAATGGGATTTTAGGGAAAGCATTTTCCTCTCCTGAGATGATTTACATGGTCACATGTCCTAGTCACACGTGCCAGAAATCCAGGAAGTAATAGGAGAGCTAATATCTGCACTTAGTAAACATGGCCACTGTCAGAGGCCTGGGAAGAAAAGAGAAATAAGGTATGCAAAGAATACAAAGCCGGCAATTATCTAGAAGTATTTGTTTGTAGATTGTCATTACTAAACATTTCTAAAGGTGCCTTTGTTGTTGTTATAAAGATATAAGCAAAGGTCCACTTTATGATTGAATTGCTCTCCTCATAAAAGGAACCTCGACTTCTTTAAACTTCTCAAATAAAAAAATAACCAAAAATAAATACAAGTATGGCGTGGTAGACATTTAATGGTGTGGTGTGGTTTTAAAAATGACCATTACTTAAACAAATAATAATATTTAAATCACATAAGACTTATAGTATATGTGTTGCCCATATCCCCAAATCAGATTCAGTGTCCTTTTTCCAATTCACATCAGGCATTATCCAATCATTGTTGTGAATTCTAGCTTATAGCATAGTAAGGTAAAAAAAAAAAAGCAATAACTTGCCAAGAAAATGTGGAACCTCAGAAAGGAAGCTGGCATTTCAAATGTCATGCTTTGCCTTCTATTAATAATGCTGTCTTTAGAGGAGTTTTGAGTCTTGACAACGGATATTTTCATCTTAATAATGAAAGTATAAGATCAAAGCAAGGGCCCTCCTAACCATCTCGTCTTGTAACTGTAATGTCTTCCTTTTATATTGTAAAGCGATGCACCAGCTGTTGCTGCCATAGAAATCCTGTATAATATAATTATTATTAAATGTGCAGTTCATTTGTTGTACCTCTTAGAGAGGTACCTGGATATGGTTTGGGGATTTTACAAAGTCCTTCCTGCTTCTGCAATTACTCATCTCTAGAAAGTGAGATGCTCTTTTACTATATGAAATATCTCCCATAGCTGCCATACTTCTCTCAGTATAGTTTTCTTCTTGGGCACCTGTCATTCTATTGCTACACTGTATTCCCTGATATTAAGGCCGTCATGGCTTTCTCTATATGAGACTGACTATGCAGTCTGCATTTGCTTGGGTAGACAAGACCGTACTGGCTCCAGACACGTCAAGATAGGTAAATATTTTCGGTCAGCCATCAGCAGGAGATCCTGAAAAGGTTCCTTCAATGGAGAAAAGCCACTGACCCCAATCTCCCCCTACTGCTAGGTTGACCATAACAGCCCTTGTTTAGGGCTTGGCCTGAAAGCAGAAACACAACTCACCCTCCCACCATTGAGGGTCTTTTATCTCCAGCATTATCTTTGTAACTGGTTATTAGCAACTAACTGCCACAGCCCTCCTCATTCAGTGGCGGCATCCCCATCTTGGACCAGGTGTATACGTATGTGTAGGCATGTTCTACATTCCTGTCCTACAGCTAGTTTGAGAATTAAGGTCAGTGAAACATACTGTAAATGTCTTGCTTGCATTTTGCTACTGCCAAGCTTCTTAATAATGTGTTAGAATGTGGTCCAGAAGCTGTCATTTTGTTACAACTCTTTAGAAAATGATATAACATCTTTTTATGATGAGCTGTTTGAACAGATCGGTTCTAGATTCGGTTGCATCATCATTTTAAGCAAGAGGATTTTCTTGAAGAGGATGTTGGCTAGTAACTAATGATCTGGACCGCCTGTCTCTCTTCCTGTTTGGGAACTCATTTCCCTCTCTGAGGATTTTTTTTTTCTTCAGTGCCTTTGATATCATTATCCCACAAAATCCATGTGTGCACAATAGCTTTTTTTTTTTTTTTCTCTTCACAGTTTTAGTTATTTCTTGCACTTTTTTCCCCTGTGTCCTTTTATAATTGCCAGACGATGATAGTTCTAGGACCAATTTCTGAGTATTTGCAGTAGTATATGAAATCCTAAGTATGTTTTTGGTAAATTAGAGCTAGCTGATATGTTTCTGTTTGGGATAGCAGTATCACGAGCAGTGCCCTCCTAACCCTATTGTACTGAAATTGTATTGTAACTGTACTGCCTCCTCCATTTTGTAAAGCGCTAAGCAAATTGTTGGCGCTATAAAAATCTTAATAATAATTTTAAGAAATGAATGTGATGCATAAAAATAAAAAAAAATTGCATTGACCATCTGACCGAAAAATATAAACCACTCCAATTTGTTTTATAACTTTATTAATAATCTTTAATAATATTTATTTTTTATAAATACCTCATCAGCCACATCAGTTGTCTTTCCAAGTGTTTAGTTCTCTGGTTGTGATGCTGCATTGAAATGGGATGTATTTCCCCTTGGCAGTGAGCGGGTTAAGGCTCTGCCAGTAAGAGGTGTGGGGTGTTACTTTGTGAGCTTTCACTCCTACTTGCAAAAAAGAAATGAATGTGATGCATAAAAATAAAAAAAAATTGCATTGACCATCTGACCGAAAAATATAAACCACTCCAATTTGTTTTATAACTTTATTAATAATCTTTAATAATATTTATTTTTTATAAATACCTCATCAGCCACATCAGTTGTCTTTCCAAGTGTTTAGTTCTCTGGTTGTGATGCTGCATTGAAATGGGATGTATTTCCCCTTGGCAGTGAGCGGGTTAAGGCTCTGCCAGTAAGAGGTGTGGGGTGTTACTTTGTGAGCTTTCACTCCTACTTGCAAAAGCCTTGCAGTGCAGCCCAGGCCCCTCCAGGAGCAAAGCAGATAAATCCTTTCTCAGGATGGTAACAAGATGCTGGAAAGGTAACTTATACATCAGTGCCAGATTTCAAAACTGATTCATCGCCAGCACGCACACTTTCTCATGTGCAGCTCCTGAAACCCAACCAGGTGCCTTCTTTTCCAAATCTCTAGAACGCACCCAGGTTTTGTTATAGCTGGTAGAAATGAGGATTTTGATGGGTGTTGGTTATCACTTAGTCATCTGACCCTGGGAAGGTCAGATGTTCTGATGTTCAAGTCTACATATGTGTGGATGTGTACCACACAGAGAAGTTGTGTTTTTTTCTGTACACACATATGTGTATGCTCTGTGATATATTTGAGACCATGCTATCAAAAAGCCTGTGATGTCCTGCATAATAAGTGACCAACAGTGGAAATCTGAAGTGGAAACCTTTAACCCAAGTATTAGACTAATTATACATGCTACAGTGATGAGTTTTTTTTCCCATTCCTTTACAAATGGCATTCATTTTATGTCCATTTTTACCATGCATTCTATACACGTATTTTCATTATTTGGTTGCAATTGCATACTGTGTTACCATACAAAGTGCTTAGGCACGCATACGTTTTTTTTTTTAGATGTAAACAGATCTGATGTGGACATATATCCAAGTTAATTTCAGAGTGCTAATAGATACTAATGAATTACAGAAACCCAAAGTGAACCCTGTTGTGACTGGGACAGAAAGCTGGCATTCCGCGATGGAAAACCAGGTAAGGATGGACTACATATGTCATACTTCTCATTGTCCAACCCCTCCCTCCCTGTTTTATTCCTGTTCTCACCAGACATGAAAAACGAGTGATAAGATAAAGTTCCAAGGAGTATAATCCGCATTTCAAAGAGGTCCACACAAAGACTGATTAACATCTTTATTGTGGTAGAATGATAGGACCGGTCAGTTACTTACAACATAAGTCTGAAGATGAAACACACTCGTGGTTAGTGCAGTCAATTGTGCGAGGATCAATGTGCTAAGTGTAGAATCCTGTAACAACCAATCAGAATTGACTTTACTGAAGTCAGGCGGGTAAAAGACTGGGGTTGCTATGGATGCTGCCGTTTCAACTAATGCTGTATTTTATGCAGTGTTTCTATTAAATAAGCCAATCGATGGAGATTTGTGATACATACATCTCAGCTTTCCAAATACCATAACCACTGTGGAATACAACCCTTACCATGATACACATGAAAGAATGGAGAAAGGTGCACTGTAGCAATTTTATTTGGGTAGAACATCCAAATAAAGTGACCATGCCATCATTTTTACTGTAGAGAAGCACCCTGCAAAAAATATCATTAATACTTACCCCAAAAGATGGTGAGTCCTGTCTATGCTCTACAGCCACCAAAGTATCATCAGCATCCCACACACCTCTGTTAGTGTTGGTGCCTAGTCCCCGCCACTTGCTTTAGTTCCACCTGCCTGCTCCTATGTCACTACAGGACACAGTAATGATGCGGTGGCTTGCAGATAGAACCACAGATCAGGCACACAACACTCCAGGATGGGGTCACCTCCACCAGGCTGTAATTATTATGCTCTGAGCACAGTCTACTACTGAGTCATAGGCAAATATCATCTTTTTTTTTTTTTTTCTTGATCTTAATTATTGCTACACACACAAAATCCAATTTAGTGCATGTATCACCTAAGTTATGTTGAGGCACTGATGGCTGCAGTCACTGTCAATGTAAGTCAATGTTGTCTGCATGTGACTTTCTGACAGCTTGTAAGAGCAGCTTCACTTGTCATCATTCAATGTGAGCTGTGCTACACAAAATTTTAAAGCAGTTTAGTGCTGATTTATAAAAAACAAAACAAAATGCAGTCATTGCCTGTAGCACCGAATCCTCTTCCACATTTTCTGTGGAAAATATATCTAGCAGACCCATTTTCTACCTGCACTGATTACACTTATCAATAAGTGACTGCAATTTATCCCTGTGAGCAGCTGAATGAAAGTGTTCATTCTCCTATATCCATCCACATCAGTCTGTCCCAGGTTCATTGGAAGGAATGCAGAAACTTCGCCTCCTTGTCCAGTTTTACTGACCTGACCGGATGTTGGCGGATATAGACGGACTCACATTCGTCTATTATCCGGCTACCCAAAGGGATAACCTGGGTCCATTTTTCCTCCATCACAAGATGGAACAATCTGATTAGACACGAATGTTACATGTGGCAACCATTTCTGTTCTGATTTCACTCAACGGGGGATGAGTCTAGGATCCCCTACTGAGACAGATTGGAGGGCGTCGTTGTGAAAGTTTGTTTGCTATAAAGATGCATATCACCATAGTGAATTATGACATTCAGTATGGTCCATAAAGTTAAAGTGAAACTAAACTCAGTTAAATCTTTAACATGCCTTAACTATTCGTAAAAATATATTTAATTTCTGTAGCTGGCGATCCTCAAATCACCTCTGAATTGGAGCGGACACTGTCCTTCCTTCTGGAGGGTGCCTGCTTTTGTTCTCCATGGTCCCTGTGTATGTGTTGTAAAGTAGTCACCACTCCAAGCTGGCTCCTTTGATGGACTACAATCTCACATTTAGTTTACTAATTTGTAGTAGAATTGTAGTGATCACACAGGGGGACCATGAGGAACAAAAGTAGCCACCCTCCAGAAGGAAGGACAGTGTCCGCACCAATTCAGAGATGATTTGAGGCTCTACAGCCGAGTGATACACAAATAGGATACATTTTTGTTAATAGTTACGGTACTAGAATGCATTTTTAAAGAAGAATTTCAGAATTTATTTTATTATTGCTACACAAATGGGGTACATTTCTTGTTAATAGTTAAGGTACTTGAATGCATTTTTAAGATTTAACTGGGGTTAGTGTCACTTTAAACTCCAGAAACACTCAAAACTTCCCTTGCAGTGGGACTGCCCTCGCCCTACAAGGGTTCAATGCTTGTTTAGATCTAGGGTACCTGGAAAAATAACTTTTACTTACCTGATCCCCTTTACATCCAGGCTGCCCTATTAAACATGAGGATGCCAAGGGACAGTCCACAGGCCTGAGCATTCTATACCATCTGATTAATGAAAGTGGCTGTACTGAGGCCCACTCTACATTTTTATACACCGCATCATTCTAAATCTGGCATCCCTGTGTGTTTTGATGTTTACTTTGCATAATGGCATTACTAGATGTGAATGTTCCTGTCTCCAGGTCTGGAGATAAGTCTACAAAGTTTATGTACGGTTGTATCACAAAGTATTGTTTAGAAACCTCCCCCTAAAATGTATCTGTAGATTCTGAAGTTTTCTGGTGCTTTAATGTCATGGCACATTTTTTGTTTATTTATGGTAAGCAGACCACTTGTTTGCACCTAAAACACAGCCCCCATTTTCTGTTTTGTTTTCACATCAACCAGTTAGGTCACTTGTAGCACTGGGAAGGAGCAGTGTGACTTTGCTGGAAATGAATCCACAGCTGAACATACTGACATATACTCTACCTTATGCCTTTGCTTGGATAGTTTGGTACAATCTTTCACCTTTTGATGAACACTATAAAAGGTTCTGTTTATGGTCTAGTCATAATAAAATCAGAACTTTTACTGTAAATATGTTACCTAACTTATGTTACTTATCCAATTCCTGCACTAGCAACGTTGGCTATAAAACTGCATGCAGAAAGGATTTGACTTTGCTACAGATCTATTTTCGCAAATCATTTGGGATGCCATAGAAATGGACCACAAAAATACTCCTAGAAGGCACTTTGGTACATTCCCAAACCAGACCAAATTAGAGAATATGCTAGGGCTGCAACAACTAATCGACATAATCGATTATAATCGATTATTGAAAAAGTTGTCAACTTTTTCAATAATCGATTAATCGGCTTCCAATCAGTTGGCCCTGTTCACGGCTCCACACACGCTGCGCGCCGCACCTCTTCCCCACCTCACGCTCGCCGCTGCCAGACCCGCCCGCCCGCATCCACGCCGCACCTCCTCCCCGCCTCACACTCACCGCCCGCCCACATCCACGATTGGCACAGGGACGCGGGGAGATGTAGTAAGGAGGAGCAGGTGTGGGGGGATGACAGCCACTGATAGACAGGTCCGATCTCAGAAGCAAGTTGCTGGAAGACTGCTCAGGTAAGCCTGCACTTTCCCTCCCACATGGTGCTCTATAATGTATTGCTTGGATTTGTATTCCTCTATAGCTTATGGTACATTGTGCTGTATATTATACATAGGAATACACATCCAGCAATACATTATACACTGTATGTATAATGTATTGCTGGGATTTGTTGTATTCCTATATAGCTGGTGATATTCTGCACTGCACTGTATAGAGGACTACAAATCCCAGCAATAGTACATTATACAGCGCAATGCAGAATACCACCAGCTATAATGTACTATTGCTGGGATTTGTTGTAGTCCTCTATAGCTGGTGATATTCTGCGTTGCGCTGTATAATGTACTATTGCTGGGATTTGTAGTCCTCTATAGCCGGTGCAATTCTGCATTCATTGCTGTATAATTTTACACTTTCCTTTTCACTATATTGCACACCACACTATTTTTCTCCACCGCTCCAAGCTTGCTCCTGTGATGGACTACAATCTCAATACAAACTAGTAGTCCCATCACTGGAACCATTTTTAATGTTTTTTTTTTATTGTTTATCCGATTAACCGATTAATCGAACTTAATAATCGGCTAACTAATCGATTTTGAAAATAATCGTTAGCTGCAGCTCTAGAATATGCTACCCAATAAAGTTTACCCAACAGCAGTCTGCCTCTGAGCCAAACTTTCCTATCAGGCTATAGGCTGGCCCATGAAAGTATTGATACAGTTTTAATTGAGGTGGAAGTATGCATTAAACTAATAGGGATATGGAAGGGCAGGATTTAATGGGGATCATTGATCCTAGAAAAGGCTCCTCTTCTCTCTGTTGCAATAATCGAAGATAAAAAGATACTTGTTGGCAAAGTTTTATGTTGACTTATTATTTTCATCAACATTATTATTATCATTTTTAAAATTTCACAAATCAGTATGTTTGGCAGAGGTCCAATGTATGAAAGTCAGGGATATGGATAAAGATCATCAAACTAGACTGCATTTGAAATGGTGCACATAGTTAAGAATAGGATGTTGGCGCAGGCTCCTTGCTAGTCATTTTGATGTCACTCTTATGTCTAGATCACGCTGCAAAACAACTATATTACTATTCACATTGATATGTTTATAATACTAAGTGATGTTTATTCATAAGAGGTTGCATAATTTCTGTTCAGTGGCGTGCAGACTTGTTTAACGCCAGGTTTTGCCGCCTTTTTATGATAAACATTATTTGCTGCAGAGCAAGCCGCTCTTTGGTCATTTGAAAGATGAAAGTGTGAGAATGAGCCCTTACAATGGTATAAAGCTGAGAGCATTTGATGGTGTGTCATGGGTGAATTCCAAGCAAAGGGTGCAGCTACTCGTTAAAGCGGGAGCAAAGGTTAAAAAAAGTGGATAGAGGATGTGTGTGGGTATATGTCTGTTAGTGATGTCGTAGGATTATCTCATTAGAATTCTGCAAATTGCACTTGGTATATGATGACTTCTTTTTATTGTGATGTAAAATGTATAGTTCTGCTAGGAATATAGAGCAGCTTTATTCTTAGATGAAGGAAGCATTATGGGTTTATCCCCAGACATAATAAATATTTACACATATTT